GGAAGGGGAAATAATACCGTTACAAAATTGAAGAAATTGCTGCACGGAAGGGGAAATAAAACCGTTACAAAATTGAAGAAATTGCTGCACGGAAGGGAAAATAATGGGACACACTGGGAATTTTATTATCGAAACGGGCTGTATCTCCGCTTTGTCTAGAGCTAGCTTCACCAGTGTGTCTTCTTCTCATTTCATGGATATTTAAGTGAGACCCGATCCAACACAGCTCCACCTGTTGCCTTTTGTTCGATAGTTTTACATGTTCGTATAGAATATTATAAACTATGTTTGGCCTGGAGTTGGTGTTTCTGCCGCTGATGCGAATCTGATGAGGATAACTGCCTTTGTTTCCGGTAGTTCCAGTATGATTTTGAGTTGAATTCATCCAAGTCAGCAGTGAATACTGACCATCAGAGTGAGTAAGGTTTTACGCCGCTTTTGGCAATATTCCAGCAATATCACGGCATGGGACACCAGAAATGGGCTTCACACATTTTACCAATGTCGCGAATCGAACCCGGGTCTTCGGCGTGACGAGCGAACGCTTTAGTCACTGGACTACCCGACCGCCCCCTGACCATCAGACACACAAGTGTATATGCAATAATTTTGAACCTCACCTCACCTCAATGAATCAGAAGGTATCCATAAAGTTATACGTTTTCTCGAATTTAACTCTGTTTGGAATAATATGATAATTGACAATTTGAAGAAAGTTTAATATGATAAAGTAATATTTTCATTATACGAATTCACACCGTCTATATAAATATGTGGATTCATTAAACAGGTAGCTAACTAAAATTATATTTTACCTTTCGTAGAGGTTAATACAGGCTAAGACAACTGCACTCTTTCACTGTTCGCTCTATACTTCATGTCACTGTGTCATTTATCTCCAGTGTCTATTCCCATGTACATTCTTCTAAATGATAAAGAGTCAGGCTAAGTATTTATCATAAATTTATCATAAATGGCAAGCCAGAAGCCACGACACAGCTGATACAGCTGATCTATCCGTGATACGTGATGTGCTTGCAATACATTGGTATAAGGGTAACGCTATTTTTCAGGGCATTATCATTTGCAGAAACCCGAGGTCTTTTTCCATTAACGGCCCGACGAAGGAGGGCAGATGAAAAGACCGAGGGCTTCTGCAAATGATAATGCCCTGGAAAAATAGCGTTACCGTTATTATAGCTAAAATGGATAGAATTTGAAATCAAATAAAATAAACAATATCGGTTTTGAAACATTTAGTGCAATCAACACGAATTTCACTGACCCACTTTTACAAATATGGAAACGTCATAGAACAAACCAGATGACGTCACTATTGAACGTGACGTCACCTTCCCTATCCCTGTGACGTCATCTAACAACGGGCGCGATAATGGCCCGTCGTCAAGCAATTTCAGGGCATTATCAAGTTACAGTGGCCCGCTCATTTCTGATAACATGCGGGCAGTTTAATGATAATTATATCCATTTTAGCTATAATGTACAGTAACCCAATCGTTGGTCCACTTGTACAGAGTGAGTGAGTGAGTGAGTGAGTGAGTGAGTGAGTGAGTGAGTTGGATTGAACGCCTTTTAACAGTATTCCAGTTATATCACAGCGTGTCGGCTTAATGTTGGAGGAAGGCCCGAAGTGATGCAGGTCTAAGACGTTTACCACTTCGGTGAAACCCACGAGCACGGGTATGGTGCTGACAAAGCTAGAAAATAATCGAGGCGAACCGGGATTCAAACCAACAATCATAGGTTTCTGGCGTGGCCAAGGGACGCAACTCTGCACAGCGAATGGCGGCGCCTTACAGACTGTTCCCCCCGCTGCACCCCATAGATCACTGAAGGCCTTGAACATAACTGAACAAATGAAGTTTCAAGATAGGGTGTGATTCGAATAAATATTATTTATTATGTTCAAACATTGGCATTTCATTGTGTTAAACTGTGTGATCACATCGAAACTTCGAAGCACGAAGAATGCATCACAGACTTCAGTAAAGAAATTATGCTCAGCAATAGTTGTCTGCATGACAATCGATAGTCTAAAATATTTCTTTTAGCAGAATCTACGCTGAATGAAGTGAGAACAAAATACCTTTGTGATATTGTGGAATGGATACAACGGAAGGCGTCTGCACGCTTAAGCAATCTTCTAGACAAATTGCGAGTGAACAAAATTAACCCCATTCCGATTATATCATAAGCAGCTTTATTTCCGTATCTAGGCCACCGGCCCATTAAAGCGCATAATGTACAATACAGTGTTTCCACGTTTCTACCTTCACACTGATACACCCTGGACCTACACCTGTACCTTCATACTGATACACCCTGGACCTACATCTGTACCTTCATACTGATACACTTACACCTCACCATGGATCTACACCTGACCTTCACTCTGATATACACACACGTCACCATGGATATACATCTGTACCTTCACACTGATACACACACACTACCATGGATCTGCATCTTAACCTTCACATTGATACACACACCCCTCACCATCGATCTACATCTGTACCTTCACACGGATACACACACACCAACCTGTGTCTACATCTGTTCCTTCACACTGATAAACACACACCACCCTGGACCTACATCTGTCCTTCACACTGATACACACACACCACCCTGGACCTACATCTGTCATTCACACTGAGACACACACACCACCCTGGATAGAGATCTGTTCCTTCACACTGATACACACACACCACCCTGGATAGAGATCTGTTCCTTCACACTGACACACACACACCACCCTGGACCTACATCTGTCCTTCACACTGATACACACACACCACCCTGGATAGAGATCTGTTCCTTCACACTGATACACACACACCACCCTGGATAGAGATCTGTTCCTTCACACTGATACACACACACCACCCTGGATAGAGATCTGTTCCTTCACACTGATACACACACACCACCCTGGATAGAGATCTGTTCCTTCACACTGATACACACACACCACCCTGGACCTACATCTGTCCTTCACACTGATACACACACACCACCCTGGATAGAGATCTGTTCCTTCACACTGATACACACACACCACCCTGGATAGAGATCTGTTCCTTCACACTGATACACACACACCACCCTGGATAGAGATCTGTTCCTTCACACTGATACACACACACCACCCTGGACCTACATCTGTCCTTCACACTGAGACAAAAACACCACCCTGGATAGAGATCTGTTCCTTCACACTGATACACACACACCACCCTGGATAGAGATCTGTTCCTTCACACTGATACACACACACCACCCTGGATAGAGATCTGTTCCTTCACACTGATACACACACACCACCCTGGATAGAGATCTGTTCCTTCACACTGATACACACACACCACCCTGGACCTACATCTGTTCCTTCACACTGATACACACACACCACCCTGGACCTACATCTGTCCTTCACACTGAGACACACACACCACCCTGGATAGAGATCTGTTCCTTCACACTGATACACACACACCACCCTGGATAGAGATCTGTTCCTTCACACTGATACACACACACCACCCTGGATAGAGATCCGTTCCTTCACACTGAGACACACACACCACCCTGGATAGAGATCTGTTCCTTCACACTGACACACACACACCACCCTGGACCTACATCTGTCCTTCACACTGATACACACACACCACCCTGGATAGAGATCTGTTCCTTCACACTGATACACACACACCACCCTGGATAGAGATCTGTTCCTTCACACTGATACACACACACCACCCTGGATAGAGATCTGTTCCTTCACACTGATACACACACACCACCCTGGACCTACATCTGTTCCTTCACACTGATACACACACACCACCCTGGACCTACATCTGTCCTTCACACTGAGACACACACACCACCCTGGATAGAGATCTGTTCCTTCACACTGATACACACACACCACCCTGGATAGAGATCTGTTCCTTCACACTGAGACACACACACCACCCTGGATAGAGATCTGTTCCTTCACACTGACACACACACACCACCCTGGACCTACATCTGTCATTCACACTGAGACACACACACCACCCTGGATAGAGATCTGTTCCTTCACACTGATACACACACACCACCCTGGATAGAGATCTGTTCCTTCACACTGATACACACACACCACCCTGGATAGAGATCTGTTCCTTCACACTGATACACACACACCACCCTGGATAGAGATTTGTTCCTTCACACTGAGACACACACCACCCTGGATAGAGATCTGTTCCTTCACACTGAGACACACACACCACCCTGGATAGAGATCTGTTCCTTCACACTGATACACACACACCACCCTGAATAAAGATCTGTTCCTTCACACACACACACACACACACACACACACACACACACACACACACACACACACACACACACACACACACACACACACACACACACACACTACCCTAAATCTACATCTGTACCATCACACTGAGACACACACACCACCCTGGATCTACATCTGTACCTTCACACTGATACACACACACCACCCTGGATCTACACCTGTACCGTCACACTTATATATACACACACACACACCATCCTAGATCTACATTTGTATCTTCACACTGATACACCCTGGATCTACATCTGTTGTCCTGCGTAAAATGAACTAACTGAATATAGCTGAACTGTGAGATAGTTTTCATTCACTGAAGCATATACACTGCCCCATTCCACCACTTGAAGTACTTCAAGTACTAAACAGTCAAGGCAAATATATTTTCTTAGGCCCTAATAAACGCAATAGATATATAAAGATGTCATTAACTACCCTAGCCTAAGTAGTGTTACTGTCCATTAGTGGAAAAGGCAAGGATAAGGCAAACATAATGGCGCTCTGTCAAGGTGAAGGTGAAATGGGGTTTAACGTCGCGTCCAAGATTATTGCACTTATATAGCGACGCGGCGCTCTGTCAAATACATACGTGAGTGTGTATATACTTGTATAATGGGCCGGTGGCCTCATTACAGAGTATACAACATCAACAGTAGAAACACTCAGCCGCTTTGCCTTTATTATCCTCATCCATCTTCATCATTGATCACGGTATGTCTAGTATTTCCACTGTCCTGTTATTCTCTACGTACAAATTGAAACGTGCTCGTTAGAAATTCACATGGTAAAACTGGGATTTCATCCCTTGTACGCCCTGTCTTGTGATTATAACAGATCTTCTTACAAATACTTAGGTCATGTTTCCTGCTAAGAACTTTCTCGACGTTTCTGGGTGCGGGTAACATCATTCCCATGAAAGGTCTCTCAACCAATGGGAAAATATCATGACGTTTGTAAGTGGTGTTTCCGTTACCCAGTTTAATAAAATGAGTCAAGTTGAGAGAGTAAAAGAATATATCCAGGAAAGGCCACCTCCATGGAGCACTAGATGTCGGGATTGACGATTTATTGTAAAATTTCCAAATGGTCTCCCTTGTATGAAAGGTGTACGTAGTGTTAAGCAGTAAAGTCTTCAATATTTGTTTGTCGCCTTTTTTAACAACAAGATCTATATCGTCATCCCAGGGCACCATGTCGTGATGGAAATATGAACCACGCAGCGTATATCCATACATCAGATACGACACCTTGGATGTGACTGCCTCGCTAAACACTTTCATCAAAGACCGAAGTTGTTCCTTTTCACTCGGCTTTATAGTATCTGAAAACAATGTCATGGCTTGTGTGCGGTCATGGATTTCCTTACAGCGTTTCTTCTTGGGAACAAGCTGCCTTTTTTTCGAATTTTCTTTGATCAGAATCATGTTCGGGTTCTTGACTAGTTCGTTGTCATGAATCAACTTATTGGTCTCGTTCTTAGGCACGACGCTCATTGTCATAGTTGGTTTTCCGGTCGTGGTGGTAGATGTTTTAGATACAATTTTGTTTCTCGCGAATTCCAGTTTTATTGACCCTACTGCGGCGGTGTGCTTGTTGTAGCTCCTAACACGTGTCGCAATGTAGACAAAGATAGCCATGACACATATGCAGGAAAGGGTCCTCCTGTATCGTGCTTTCAATGTCCCCCAACAGATTGCCATGTTGAAGCACTGACTGAAATTAAATAAATTAATAAAGGTTGTGTTTTTTTGTTTTTTACGCCGCACTGAGCAATACCCCAGCTATAAACTATATATATTTGCTTAAAAGCGACAACACACTTTCCACAAGACACCACTTCTAAAACCAGGGTTGACGAATCAGTATCAAATACACATGCGAAGGCACATGTCACAACAAACACTTACAAAGGCAAGTCAATTGTTCCTGAAAAAAATACGGAAACATATGGCGCAAGTCTAAATAGGCAATTGCATTGGTCATCATATTTAACTCAAGGAATAAATAAAGCTCCCTGTTAAAAATATATCTCCTGAGGTTACTACGGTACTAGCTCTACATGGAAAACACAGTATATGACTCTCTTCATTGACCACATCTATTAATATTAGTAAAACATTGATAGTTCCGAACCCTATTAATGAGAGAATGTTATTATTTCTCATTCAATAGATCACGAAGGAAAGTTGTGTAAAACACACAGAGAGAGAGAGAGAGAGAGAGAGAGAGAGAGAGAGGGAGTGAGAGTGAGAGAGAGAGAGAGGGAGTGAGAGAGAGAGGGAGTGAGAGAGAGAGAGGGAGTGAGAGAGAGAGGGAGTGAGAGAGAGAGAGGGAGTGAGAGAGAGAGGGAGTGAGAGGGAGTGAGAGAGAGAGAGGGAGTGAGAGAGAGAGGGAGTGAGAGGGAGTGAGAGAGAGAGAGAGAGGGAGTGAGAGAGAGAGAGAAAATAGTTTGTTTATGTCTCACGCCTTTCATAGGCTGTGTATATACAAAAATGATTTAGATGTAACGCCGAGCTATAAGGCTTATGAGACACAATAAAACAATACATATATCTGTGTATAAAACATAAGAAGGATACTGTTCGCAGCTTGTTCAAAACAGTATTATACATGGTAATATTCATAGTTAACATTAATGTTCATGAATTAAATGATTGTTTACGTAAAGAACTTTATAAAGAGTGCTTGATAATAGGATTTGTACATTTTCTGACTTTAAAATAAGTATAAATTTGTTCAAATCAGTCAGATTTGTAAAGGTAGGATTTAATAACATGCAACTATTAAAAATGGACATGTTATTAAGAAATGTAATCCATCTTAAATAATTCTCTAATTAAGTTGTTTAAAACATTGTAGGCGAATTCTGCCAAGAAGATGGGTTGGTGGTTTGTTAAAACGTCCAGTTTCTATGGCAAGAGGTAAATATCTGCATCTGAACAAAGATAAAATTCGACGGTGGTCCCTAAATTGTACATTTAAAACATACGATTCAACAACATTTTGCGTCTTAAATTTCCTGTAAATTCTTAGCTTCTTGCCATTTACAATAAAACATATAATGTGTCGTTGCAATGGTCTGAAATAGTATAATTAAATTTTACAAGTATATCATTGCTTCACACGTGACTTACTAACTCCGCTTGTCACACATTGTAGTTTTGTCAAGTATTTGGTGGTACATTTGCTGGACTGGTAGATGGATGGATGGATGGATGGATAGATGGATAAATAGATAGATAAAGCACTATGACATGGTATGCCCATCCCGCGTCCAACCTGAATCCATTGCTCATTGATGTGGATGTCAAGACCATGCCCTATCATGCCGGGCTCAGTTAGAAACAATAACTGCAGTTAGATCCGCTATCTGTCGTAGATCTCCTACGATGCACAAGTGACTCTAACTCTATTTCTGAGAGAGGGTCATCTACTCAAACGTGTATAAACAGAGCTATCAATTTCTAAAATTCAAGACCCAAACCATATCAGTACGAAAATAGAAACGTAATTATTACAAAAACAGAAATGTCATTAATACTAAAATTATCAACAGACCTGAGGGGTAGACCAGGCGAAATTGCTCAGGCAGAAAGCGATCTCTTAAACACTAAAAGCAACAACGACGACGAAGTAAGGTCTGATGTCCGTCTGATGAAACGTATGTTAGTATGTGTTGACGCCCCAAATCGTCAATCCCATCAATCATGTGACACGTGGTAGCTTCCACAACGCGTGAGTTGATAAAATGAATTAAAAGTACATATTCCTTTCAAATAAACACAAGCAAACTTTATAAACAGAAACAACTTCCTTTGCACAACTGGAATCCAAAATGTCTGCTTCGTGAGCAGAACCCGTTCCTGGTATCAATACTCTATGTTAATGCCTTCTACGTGAACATGCAGTTCACACATGGTGAGTGAATGAGTGAGTTGGGTTTAACGCCACTTTTAACAGTATTCCAGTTATATCGCGGCGCGTCAGCTTAATGTGGGAGGAAAGCCCGAAGTGATGCAGGTCTCGGGCGTTTACAAATTCGGTGAAACCCACAAGCACGGGTATGGTCCTGACAAACCTAGAAACATAATCAGGGTGAACCGGGATTCGAACCCACAATTATAGTTTTTTTGCGTGCCCAAGGGACGCAACTCTGCACAGTGAATGGCGGCGCCACAGACGAATGGGCCACCCGTGTCCCCGCTTGAATAAGAAGATATGTCCAGCATGGAAGGTCACGCGTGATGAAGCACTTCATTACCTACGTGGTGAAGATACAGGTGGTAAGATACTAAATCCGTACGTCACACGTGTGTCGTGCAAGGTTGACCTCGTTTTACTCGTTTTGATTGGATAACCGTGACCTCTGTCACACCGGGACTACTTTTTTCATTCATAAAAAATCGCGAGACGTCAGTCATTTTGCAACTACAAGGCAGAACTGAAGAAATTAATGAGAACGAGAGATATTTACAAACAGTTTATTAAACCAAACAAGATAGTCACACGTATCAAATTCGGTTTGCATTATATAAAAGTTATGCATAGAGCTGCTACAGACATTATGTAATCGAGCTATATCCATTTACAACGCACGAATACCGATCAATAGAGCGAGGGTCCCCATGAGGATGACGCACCCGAGCAAGTTCGCAACTTTCAATTTGATTTAACGTAAAAGGATAAGCGTGGTGAAATGAAGTCTGTTTAAACTATCTGGACAGATATTTAGACTTACTAGGGAGGATCCGGTTGAGCCATAAGTGTCCCCTTCGAAGCGTATTTTGTGGCGCTGTTACGGGAGGCGTTGTTCATGAATGAACGTACACGACTGCACTACCAGATCACTAAAAGTGAACAGTTCTGATACAAATCATTCGAAAACTCCGTGGAAGTGTGCCTGACTTCTGATTTTGTGGCCCCAGACGTCCCAAATGTGAACAATAACATTTCCTATCTCTAGCGTAAAACGCTGTGAGTAGGCCTAGATCATGGTTGCCGTCTTTTCTTATACCGGTGGTGACCTTGCCCTTCGATCGTTCGAAGCTGTCACTGACATGCAAGCAGACTTGAGTTTGTTGATTTTCACGTCTTCAGTATAGGGTGGTACAGTTAACATGAATGTCTTTAGCGAACACTCTGATTTTCCTCTTCCAAAATGGTACGAACATGATATAAATTCAGCTGATAGATTAGGGAAACCGAACCATTTTGATTGCACAGACGGGACACCGGCAGTACGAGTGACCGACTGTTGGTCCGATATTCAAAGCGCGGCGCGAAGGTGACTTTTCAATGTTTTTATAGGTGTCCTTCGTACTAACAACATGGCGCTTGAATTACCATAAGTTGAAGAAATTCTTCCAAAAGGATCTTGAGCGTCGGCGCTGTTATGTTTGCAAACACAACTGCAGGCGCATGTAGTTAATGCGAATGCATAGAAATGTCAGCAATGCCCATATTTGGGCAGATATCAATATTCATGCGCAACCATATTTTGCAACCGGTTTCAGTTTGGTCTGTCAACGAACGAAAGTTGGTATGTATTTACACTTAAATATATATATTTAACGTGGGTAATAAATAAAATACCACCCTCATTCTCGTCAGATACCATTTTTTACAAAACTCGGGAACTTTCTATGGTACCTTACGAGAATGAGTGTAGTATTCTCTATATACTACGCCTATAGCTGAAGTCGCTCAATTCGCAATAGTTTATTCTAACAAAATATAGACCGGTTAACTTTAGGGAAAGGAGATATATTTCCCCTAAACAGTTTCATCCCATTTTAAAAAGTCAACATTTTTCAGAGAAACCAACATGGCGCTCCCCATCAGTCACAATCAAACAAGGGGGCGGTCGGGTAGCCTAGTGGTTAAAGCGTTCGCTCGTCACGCCGGAGACCCGGGTTCGATTCCCGACATGGGTACAATGTGTGAAGCCCATTTCTGGTGTCCCCCGCCGTGATATTGCTGGAATTTTGCTAAAAGCGGCGTAAAACCATACTCACTCACTCACTCACTCACAATCAAACAAACCCTCGGTGTCGTCTGCTAAACCAGCTGGAGCCATTTGGTAACAGGCTGCTTAGAAATACATGAAAACAGTCATCTTGTTTCATTATTCTGTATTGTATATTGACAGTTTGTGTTCACTTGTTGCAGGATGTCTCCAGCTGGGGGAGCAGACGACATACTTTCCAACAATGGGGAACAGGGTACAAAAATTGCTAAAATATGAGCAGGATGGTTATCTTCGCACTCTGGCTGGGCTAGCAGATAACTCACCAGTCTAAGATGTATTGACAAAACAAAATTAATATTTAACCTTATCTAACGTTAATTCAACAATTTATCATATAAATACATATCAACGAAGTCATTAGAAACGTAAGTCCAATGATCAATTGCTTAAAGAGTTTTAAATTCAGACTAACAAGAAATACACTTGAGATCAGAGCATTGGGATATTCTGTTAATAATCTCTCATAATTCTATTGAATGGTTCTGTACATTCTATACGCTTGAAATAAGAGAGCAGTGGGATATTCTGTTAATAATCATCTCTCATAATTCTATTGAATGGTTCTGTACATTCTATACGCTTGAGTTTAGAGAGCATTAGGATATTCTGTTAATAATCTCTCATAATTCTATTCAATGGTTCTGTACATTCTATACGCTTGAGATTAGAGAGCAGTGG